CTCACAATCCAATGCATGGTAAAAACAAAACAAAACAAAATAAAACAAACAACCCCCCCCCAAATTCCTTTATTGGCCATGTTTAAAAGCATCTCTCTTTCTCTATATATCTAGTCTGTCACCTCTTTATCAGAGGTTGTATATCAGATTCTCTGGAATCATAGTTGATCATTGTGTTGATCAGAGGTCTTAAGTCTTCCAAAATTTTTCCTATTCATAATGTTATTATGTAAATGGTTCTCCTGGTTAGGCTCACTTCACTCTGCATCAATTCGTACAATTTTTCATAGGTTTTTCTGAAACAATCCACTTCTTCTTACAGCACAATAATATTCAACACATTCACATAACATAATTTGTTCAGTCATTCCTCAACTGAGAGGCACCTCCCTCTTAGTTTCCTATTCTTTGCCACTACAAAAAGAACTGTTACAAATATTTTTGTACACAAAGGACCTTTTCCTTTTCCTTTGATCTCTGAGCTCAGTGTTAAAATCTTGGGCCCAAGAGCTTCCGGAAGGTATCCAGGCCCCATCTGAGAAGAATGAGGGGACAGAACAGACACTCTACTCTGGGTTATGCTCCTAGATACTCTGATGACTCCCTTCATACCTCCTGGGCCTCCCATGGTCCACCAGTCTTCCCAAGTAGAACAGTGCAAAGCTAACAGATGTCAGAAGTTGACCCACAGGGATGCAGCAAGAAGGCGGAGGCCTCCTATGAAATGCTGAGTCATTTCAGTTGCTGACAGCTGTGGGATGGAGATAAGAGTGAGGGTGGCTGAAAAGAGGGTAATGCATATATTTGTGCATGGGACTAAGAGGAAGAAGGGGATGGTACTGAGGAGTGGCTTCTCGGAGGAGAGATGAGTGAGAGGAAGCAGGAAGCAAGATGCAGGGTCTTGGAAAGCAGTGTGGGAGACACGAGGAAGATGGTATGTGAATGGGGACCACTATAAAGACAAAGAATGAGGGGTGGGAGAAGGAAGAGAAACCAAAAGGGTTGGGTATTTCTAAGGAGACCCCTGACTTCCTTTTAAAGTTTGGTGACAAAATATTGTTCTGTGGGAGGGAATAGATGTGCCTGGGAGTAAACGAATGAATGAATGCATGTGGGTGAGTGAGCAGGATTCTGATTGAGCAGGACTGTGTGTGAAAACATGTAAGTGTATAACTGGCAAGTATGGTTGAGTGGGAATGAGGGTTTGTAAGTGGATATGCGCCATGGTTCTGTTCCATTCTAGTGAACCCAACAAATATTTATTAAGCACCAATTTTGTGCTAAGAGGATAATGTAGACAGGCCCTGTTCCTGAGGAGCTTACAATCTAATACGGGATGAAAGACCTGTGTACAAATAAGTTGTTAAAAGGGAGAATGAGTGTGAATGAGTCAGAGGAGATGTAGTGGAAAGAACACTGGAGAATAATAACATTCACACAGTGCATTAGGTTTTGCAAATCATTGCCCTAATATCACTGCATTTTATTCTCACAACATTGGAAAGTAGGTTCTGTTATTATCCCCATTTACAGATGAGGAGATTAGGGGTGGAGGTTAAATGACTTACCCTGGGTTCAGGGGTATGCCTGTAAATGCTTAACAATAGGCATTCCAGGGGAAAAATACACACATGATACACTTTCGAGTTTAATTTCTGTTATTAATATTTTCTCTAACACTTTTTAAAGTCTAGACAATCATTTTAAAAAATTAGTACCTGATTTGTAACAGTACAAATGCTCCCAATGAAAATCGAGCAATCAGCTTGAGCTGGTATGGCCCAATTCCAGCAAACTCTTGCCTGGATAGCACAGTTGTTACATGCCTGAAGCTGGATTTGAACTCAGGTCTTCCTGCCTCCAAGTCCAGAATTCTATTCACTACACCATCCAATTGCCTCTGGGAAACCTTGCCTCCAGCTCTGTTTCTGTGTGTGTGACTTTGGTAAGCCTGTTCCCCTCTCTGGGTCTCAGTTTCCTGGTCTTCTAAAGGCAACGGTTGGACTAGATGAACTAGATGAGAACTGGTTCTAGTACTCTTTGATTCTGAATGTATGAATGGGTATGTGTGAATGAAGCATTATTTCCCCTGGGGAGCGTTTCTTTCCCAGCAACACTAAGGCAAAGTAGTGAGCCATGCTGACCCAAGAAACTCCCTTTTAAAGAGCCACTATCTAGTTTCTGGCTTCAGACACTTAACTAGCTGTGTGACCCTGGGCAAGTCACTTAACCTTGTATGCCTCAGTTTCCTCATCTGTAAAATTAACTAGAGAAGGAAATGGCAAAAACTCCAATATCTCTGCCAAGAAAAACTCCAAATGGGGTCACAAAGAGTCAGACACAACTGAAATAACTGAACAACAAATAACAACATTTAGTTCATACCTTTAGAGCTGAAAAAGGAATTTAGAGCTCATTTTATAGAAAACACTAAGAGAGAGGAGTCCTGGGCTTTGTCCAAGGTCACATAGATAGTAAGTGGCAAAACCAGGATTCAAACCTAGGTCCTTTGACCCCAGACCCTGCATCTTTCCCCTGTATCAGCTTTATTCTACAGACTTTGCTCTTACCTACCCAAATGATCCTCTCCTTCTGTGAGCTGAAGACCCTTACATTATCTGTGGCGACAGAACAGAGGAGTGGAAACTTGGTTTTGAGTGAGACTTGGTTTTGAAACTGCCTCCACAATGGTAAGCTGTGTGACCCTGGACAAGGTTCCTGAACCTCACTGTGAGCCTCAGTTTCTTCATCCGTAAAAGGGTGATGACAATACTTGGATGTTTACTTCACAAAGTTCTTTTGAGGACCAAATGATACGGTTTATATCAAATGCTTTGACAGCTTTAAAGACTTTATAGATGTCAATTATTCTGTCTAGACTGTTGACCATCTCCCCCATTTAAGGGGCATCAAAGCCCTGAGGTAGAGGAGCTCTAGGGCAGGGTGGAGCCGGCCACACCTGCAAAGAGTGAAGAACGGAAGCAACAGTGATAGGCTGTCTCTGGGGCCCCTGCGGTTGGGGCCCTGGGCTTGCTGCATGTGCGGGTTCCCAGCAATTGCAATTTCCTCATTTCCCTAAATAGGCAATTTCACTTTCACAACTTCACCATCCTATTCACTAGACCCAGATGGCAAGGCCCACAGCTGGCTTTGGACGTTGACCTCAGGACCCCAAGGTGCCCAAGTCCCTGGGGGAGTGTTCAGAGGAGGCTGTGACCTCCTCGAGCCCCATGGAGCCAGGGACCTGTCTCTGGTTGCTGCTACTTCTCTTGCTGCTGTTCTGTTTCTCAGGTGAGAGTCTGAGAAGGCAGGTGGGGCCTGGGATGACTGCATGATTCTGAGGGGTGGGAGGTAGGTTGTCTTAGAGGTGGAAGAGGGATTTGCTGTGTGGTGGGGAGAGGGCTTTACTGACTCTACCCTCGAATCATTTCTGTTTCAGAAAGACCTTTTCTATTTCTCTCTTTCCCTCGCTATCTAAAGAGCCTGAATATTATTTGAGAGAGATGTGATTACTTGTGAGACAGTGATCTTAACTTCAATGACCACTTATCACTGAGCATATCAAAGTAACTGGCTGGGAAAGTGCCAAGCAAGTCAGAGAGGCTAATGAACCCAGATCAGTCTCTGTTTGGGGGTCTTCCATTTGCTAGGTCTCTAACTTGGATACTAACTTTCCTCCTAAAAGAACTGACTCTTAAAATGTGTCCTTAAGCTCTCTAAGGGGGTTAAGAGCTCAGTGTCTCTGATTGGCTCTGATATCACAACTTTGATTTCATAAGCAGGTGAACTTACAAGTCCCTTGTGAGTAGAAATGAATGTGTGTGGTTCTCAGAATGCTCATGCAGTCTCCTCTCCTGGGTTGGGGCCAATCCCTAGAGGTGGCTATCTAGCATAGCAATGACCATTAGTCTTTTTGGAAACTGTCCATTTCTATTGTCATGGCAACTGGGTTACCACTTCCCATTAATCTTCTCAACATTTAGGAAACCTCTTCTCCAGCTGCAAAGGGTGGATTGGGATGCAAAGATCAAGTTGGTTTCCAAACTATGCAGACACTGGGTCAGCAGGGCCCTACCAAAGTCATCCTATTTATCCCACAGACCCAAGGCATGATAAGCTCTGTCCCATCCCAGATAGAAATTTCTCCCCTATGCTACAGATCTCCAGTCATGGCAGTAGTGTTCTGATTTCTAGATGGGGCTTCCAGAAGCCCTTTATATATTAAGCCATCTGGGTTGGGACCATACGGTTCAGAGCAGCAAAGAGGCTTACTCAAAATGGAAAACAATTTCTGTAGTGGATCAGGATTTTCCAGTGACTTGGAGTTGGACTCCTCCTCCCTTTTCAGCATCCCTGTCATAGGCACTGAGTTACCAGGGAGCCCTGGAGAAATTAGTGTTTGCAGGTAATCTAATGGAGAGCAGGAACCAAGCAACCCAATGTAACTCCATCTTCCCCTCTATGATGATGTCAAAGTGTAAGGGAAAGAGAAACATGAAAAAATCACTTCTCCTGTTTGGATCTCAGTTTTCCAACTCACAAAATGATGGGGCTGGACTAGATGACAACAAATTAAACAATTCAACAAGCACCTGCTGTATACTAAACAGTAGGTATTTAATTATAAAACCCAAACAAATCGTGTAATCAAAGAATTTGTGTTCTGTTAGGAGGATGGGTATAGCTTGCATACAGATAAAACAAATACAAGGGAATTTGAGGAGAAAGAATAATATATAGGGAGAGATGGTGAAGGATGAAGAAAACCTTCACAAAGGAAATGGAATTGTTATTGAGCATTGAAGGAAGCTGATGATTGCAAAGGGGCAGCTAGGTGGCACAGTGGACAGACTCGTCTTACTGAGTCCAAATCCAGCCTCAGACACTTACTATCTACATGACTCTGGGCAAGTCACTTAACCCTGTTTGCTTAGATCCTCATCTATAAAATGATTAGAAAATGGCAAAATACTCCAGTATCTTTGCCAAGAAAACCCCCAATGGGGTCGTGAAGAGTTGGACACCTGAAGCAATCAAACAACAAAGATTCCAAGAGATGGAGATGAAGTCGGTCACAAAGCCTTTATTAAGCACCTTTTATGTGCTAGGCACTGTGCTAAGGGAGATGAAGTGGTAGGGCATTCCAGTATGGAATTCCAGGCAGCCTCTTGTATGACTGTAGAGAGGATTATAAATCTGAGGAATAGCTAGAACGCTAATTTGGTTAGAATTTGAACGTATGAAAGAGAATTAATAGGAAATAAATCTGTAAATCCAGACTGGAGTCAGATAGTGGAGGGCTTTAAATGACAGTTTGTATTTTATCCTAGAGGCAATAGGGTGACACTAATGACTTTTATTCAGGTGAGTAACATTGCCAGATTTAAGTTTTAAGAAGATGATTTTGACAGCTATTTGGAGTATGGATCTGAGGAGTGAAGTACTGAAAGGAAGGAGACTAGCGAGGATGCTACTACAACTCAGGTCAGGGGTGAAGACAATTTGGGTTAGGATAATGGCTGTTTGAGTAGATAAAAGGGGATGGATGTGAGAGAAGGTGGGAAGATAAAGTTAACAATCAAATGCTTTGAAAATGAGATGTGAGGGAGAGGAAGCAGTCATGAATGACTCCAAGGTTGCAAACCGGGGTGACTTAAGGATGATCTCTCAACAAAAATAAGCAAGTTCAGAGAGAAATAAGTTTACTAGTTCCATCATGGGAATTTGGGGTGACTATGGAACATGTAAATGGAAACATCAAGCAGGACAGTTAGTAATGTGATACTGAAGTTCTGAAGAAAGATTAAAATTGAGTATATAGATTTGGGAGTCATCTTCATAGACATGCTAGCTGAACCTTTAGGAAGAGGTGCTACCATGAAGAGACAGAGTACAGAAATGGAAGAGAACAGTCACAAGACAGAGTGTTGGGGAGCAATCTGGAGTCAAAGGATCACGGATTAAGAACTCGAAGGAACTTTAGAATCCATCCAGAGGCAATCTATGCATTCTTTCAGTTGGTATTTCCTCTCTCTGTGTTCAGAAGTTCTGAATTAATTGTATTATTTCTTGCATAATGGTGTTTAGGGTTTTTGGCTTGTCATGTTCTTCTAGAAGACCTATAATCCTTATGTTATTTCTATGCATCCTGTCTTCAAAATCAATATTGAATGGACAGCATGTCTTCCTTCAATATTACTGCTTTTGCTTTTCTTCTAGATTTTCCTTCATGTCTCTATAGTTTTATTCCTAACCAGTTTGTCTTCCCTGTTGTTTCTTTGGTTAGGCTTTCCATCACAGATTCAAGTTTTTCTTTTCTACTATTTCTGCTGTGCAGGCCATAAATTCTGCCCTCATAATTCTCATTTCTCCACTTAAGAATAGAGTGTTGTGGTTCTATTCTCAAATTCCACAGGGTCCTCTCTCTTACCAAGTGTTGATTCATTTTCCTTTGTTTTACAGCATTGTCCCTCTGAGAAGCCCAAATTCATTTAAAAGATCTGGAGCCCATATTTCCTTCTTCTGTTAATGTTTTCCCTGTCGATTTATCTGCTTATCCTCAAAACCTTTGGGTTTTCTTCCTCATAAGATCTTTGGAAATTTTAGCTATTCTCTCCCCTCCTTATTTTCCCTGTTTCTTACTTTCTTACTCTCTCCCCTCTCATGGTGGTTTCTATAGGGCATCTCAGAGTGTCTCAGCCTCCTCCAACACTGAGCAATTCATGGTTCGCCAGCCTAGGTCTCTGCCCCAACTGACTTTTGGGGGATAGAACTGTCCTGAGCTGGATACTAGGCTCTTTCCTTCAGGTTTGATGGAATGTGGCACAGCCTTCCCCTTGTCTGTCCCTCCCCCCTGCACCCCCCACCCCCACAATGCTCTGTTTCTCCATTCCTCAGCAGTTCAGAGTGCTGTCACACTAGACATACCACAGCTGGGGTGATTTCTGTCATTTGGAGTTTGAATCTCTGAATCTCTGGGTGGAAGAGGTATGGGGTTGAATTCTTTCAAGTCCAGACATATTTCTTGGCCTCATACATGTTTTTCATTTCATTTGCCCTCTTACAGAATATTTTTTTTTGGTAGGACAGAACATTGTCATAATCCTAGCCATTGACTCTCCAGAAAACTTCTTCAAGGCACTAGGAAAAGGGAAGGGATGCTGAGGTGTGGGGCTGGGTTATGTTGCAAGTCCATGGGTCAAGTCCTTGGATCAGCAAGTACTTGGATCAGCTTTGCTGCTGGTAGCACAGTGGGTGGTAGGGAAAGGGATACTGAAGGGGCTCAGAGTAGCTATTAGTCTACATATTTTTAAACCTTCTTTTGGATTCCTGCTGTCTTAGACTCTGGAGACAATTGAAGTTGCCTTGTCTTTGGTACGTAATTTCTATTTTGGAGAAGTTTGATAGGTCATAAGGATCAGGAAGAAAAAAATCTACTTGGTCTTGTTGTTTATGTGACCTAGAAGTTCTTCAGAGGCCATCCAATCTAACACCATCATTTTCAGATAAGGAAACTGAGGCACACAGGGGTTAAATGACTTGCTTAGGGTCACACAGTTTAGCTGTTAGAGAAGACAGGAGATGGTGGATGATGGATGACCCAGCACGAGAAACTGAGGAGTAGTCAGATATAGAAGGAGGATCAGAGGATCTCAAAGTTTCCTTTCAACCTTGAATCCTGTTATCCATTCCCCTGGCCTCCAAAATTCAGTTTATAACTAATTTCTTCTAAGAAAATTCCTCTGATTAGCCCTTACCCATTTCTGATTTCTCTTTTATTCCTGATCTTCTTAGAGCTTTTAGGACCTTTCAAAAAGTTTTACCTCCTTTCATTCAATGGGGTGGAAATCAAATCAGAGCCCAGCTCTGCCTGTGTGATCTTGAGAAAGTTATATGATTAGGCCTCAGTTTCCTCATCTGGAAGATGAGAAGGTTGGATTAGATAGTCTCTAAGGTCCCTTCCAGCTCTTAGGGACTCCTAGCCTCTTCCTTCAACGTTTTGTTTTATTATCCCTTCTTCTTTCTCTTTCACCTTCCCCTTCCCCATCCCCACTGGGGTGTGTGTCCCCCAGACTCCCAGGTAGAGGATGTGTATACAATAGTCCGTCACCGAGAAGGGGAGACACTATCTGTTCAATGCTCCTACACTGTCCGTTCTGACCGATGGGAGGGCAAGGTCTGGTGCAAGGTGAGAAGGAAGAAGTGTGACTCAAGGTTCAGTCGGGGTGCAGGATTTAGCACCCCCTACAAGCTCCATGATGACTCCCAGGCCGGGCTCCTCATTGTCACCATGGAGAGACTTCGGCACCAGGACTCTGGGAAATACTGGTGTATGAGGAATAGCTCACGCTCACTATACCCCGTGAAGGGTATTCAGCTGGTGGTCTCACGAGGTGAGTGTCTGACTCAAGAGAGGGGAAGGAGGTCACTTTGATTCCCTGAATTCTCATCAGCTCCTCCCTTTATTGAGGTTGATATGGAAGAAAGGAGAGACTGAATTCCTCTTCCCCACTTCCCCCCACACTACTCCTGCCGGTAACTCAAATTGGTATTTAAGGGAGCAATATCTCTCACCTCTGCCTCTGAATTGGACAAAGCTATATCTATTCTAAAGGGAGTAGGAGCATAAGGAAACAGTGTGAGGTGAAGAGAGACAAGAGGAGTCATGGGAATTTCCTTTACCAAAAGAGCCAAAACCAGAACTATCATGTTAGAAAGGTAGCTTTGTGTCAGGATGGTGACAAAGAGCATAGTTGGGGAATCTTTCCCTAGCCCAAGCCTCATTTCACATTCTTGTTGAGGTTCTGGAGTAAACCCTGCCCAAAGCTGCCACCCACATGGTCTCATTGCCATAGTATACATTTTCTGGGCCTCATTTTCCTCATCTGTAAGCTGAACTATACCAGCAGACCTCAAATGTTCCCTTCCAGGGACATGGACCTAGAATCTGTTGTCCTTTCTTCCCAAATATTGTGGAGAAGAGGGAAATTACTCTTTGGGTAATGGACCAGCCCCTGCCAACAGAGAAGATGGGACTGCTACAGTACTACATAACTCCGTATACCTGCTTCACTCAAAGCAGGGCTAGCCACTCCCCCAAATTCATTTTGTCCCAGGTGTGCCTTGCCCAGGGTCACATAGATAGTAGTTGTAATGAACGTGGACTGTGAGATACAAAGGAGTTTTCGGTTGTGTCCCAGCTCCATTGCTCTTCCTCATCCCCATCCCAATCCATACACCTCAACTTGTGTACTTGAATCCCCCAAAGTGGATGAAGATAACACTGGGAAACCCCACTGGAAACTTCTGGAGATAGGCTCTTCTGTTCCTCATCTCAGTCAGCACTTCTATATTAACTTTTTCCTTCTATTTGCTTCCTCAGCACCTTCAACTGAGAGAAACACCCCACTTATTACAAAAGAAGCCTCCATCCAGGAACTAGACCACATCTTTGGGACTGCTGTCACCACTGACCCATTCCTCAACAAGAACAAGGACCTGCCCGTAGTTGTTCCTATCACTACTTCTATACCTGCCTCAATGGGTACGATGCCAGCTGACACAGCTACTCTCCCTACAATGGCCAGATCAATGACCACTGTATCTAGAGTCACAATGAGATTCACACCAGTCACCAGACCCAAAACCACTGCCACACTAAGGATGACCACAAGATCCTCAGCAACTAATGGATCTCCTTGCAAGGCAAGATCCACCCATGTTGCCCCAGTGATGTTGGTCACAGTCAAGGCCAGATCTTCCACTACCATATCCACCACCATCAAATCATACCCGAAGGAATTACCTCCTAACAGGTACCCTACCAGCCTTAGGATATGAAAATGCCATTTGTCAAATGCATCAGCAACTCTTTATCAGGCTTTAATGGTTCCTTTATGCAAGACTCACATCAGACCTATCACCAAAGCTCTGTTTTCTGATTTGACTTTTTGACCAACAAAGCTAATAAAAAGTAGGGAACTGAGAGAGGAGAATGGGGGACAGGCAGGTGTGTTGCAGGTGTGTGGAATGGCAACGGATTGACGATAGGAGTTCAGTTTGGGAACAAGGTTTATATAATTAAAGTGGGGAATGGTGAAGGGTATGGAGAATAGCAAATCAAGATGTATTTTGAATATAAGGGCATGTGCACAGGGGTTGGGGAATAGGAAATAGAGTAGAGAATGGGGCAGGAGATACAGATGGGGAAAACTGGTTGGGAAATTGGGATGAGAGATAAGACATATGATATGAGGAAATCAGGTGAAATACATCCTGGAAAAATAGGAAGTTCTTATGAAATTCTTTAAGTATAAAGAAGAACTAATTCCATTAAGAAGGAAAAACTGGTGAAAGGGAGTTGGTGCTTAAGGAAATTTATGTGGGTGCACAAAAAGCTCACTAATCAATTTAGATTTTTAAAGTCACACACAGAAGAAGGCAAGGACAGGGAACAGAGAATGAATACAAAAGTGTTACATGGCCCTTTAAGAAAAATATAAGGAATGATAAAGCTTAGAGTAAGCTAAGACTGATGAAGAAAACTGAGTCCAAAGGTTTTATTTTTAAGCCAAAATTAAGGAAAAGAAGAGATCTAAGAAGGAATAGTGCTACCACTCTCAGCAGATGAGATAATGATGATGAAAGGCAGAGAGAAGAAAGAACTGTGCAAGTTTAATTTTGCTCCTGTTTTCCCTTGTAAGGAGGAATATTTTTGGATTGAAAATGACTGAACAAAAATGATTAATAAGGAATTGAAACTGAAGATAAGTAAGGAGATGGTAGGAGAGGATCCAACTTCCCTTGATGAATTCAAGCTCCCAAGCCCACACAAACTTCGTTCCATGATCTCACTGGTAAATATGATTGTTGAGCCATGGTCAGTGATCTTTTAGACTTCTAAGAAGAGCAAATGTTATCTTGATTTTTAAAAAATGGAAAGAGCATGGAGACCACAGTCTATGGGCCAATGACTAAGATTGTTAGCAAAATTCAGAAACATATTTTTGAAGAGATTGTTAGTAAACCTCCAGAAAATTAATTCACAAGCACAAAAAGCCAGTATGCTTTAATTAAGAATACACTTCTGGGAAAATAAAATAATATTTAATTTTAAAAAAAGAATGTTACTTAACCTCTCAGTGTCCCAGATAACCTTCTAAAAGTATTAATTTCAGAACTTCAGAACTAGTATAGCTCAACTTACAGATGAGGAAACTGTGCCGCAGAAAAGGTATACCAAGGCAATGAGAACCTGGGGGTGGCAGCTTTGGGCAAGGTTCACCCAAGAACCTCAACAGTTTGCATTTACAGAAGGAGTTTCTTTATAAGGAGTACTTTTACTGAAGAAATCCCTAGTTGAGCTTTTAAAAAAACTGACAAATTGGAATGAACTTCCTCGGGAGGTGATGGATTCTTGCTCATTGGAATTCTTCAAGAAAAGATTAGACAAGCACTTGCTAGAGATATTGTAGAGAGATTCCTTTTCATAGGTATGTGCCAGATTAGAAAGCTTCTGAAGTTTCTCCCATCTTGGAGATGATGTTGAATCAGTCAATTTGGGAAAGAGAGATCAGGAATGGAAAGATGGGAGATGGAAGGTTGGAGATGCATTTGGATACTCATGGGCATTGTGGATGAATGGGGGATTGTAGATGGGAGAGAGAGAGAAAGAAAGAGAGAAGTAGTTAGCAGGTCAAGAGATAAAGAATAGAGGGTTATTGATATGAAGAAGGAAATGGGGGATGAGAAAAAAGACAGGTATTCTCCACCACTCATGGGAAAAATAATTTATCCATCAGTTACTGATGGAGACCTTTTTTGGGGACAAGCTCTGATTGAAGAGTAAAGTTGGTGTGTGTGTGTGTGTGTGTGTGTGTGTGTGTGTGTGAGTGTAGAGTTTATGATGAAGAGGGATTAAAGGGGTAGGAGGGGGATCCTTTTGCCAGAGGACACAATCACCACCACATTAAGTATCCCTTGGCAATTTTCTGTGTGGTGAGTGACCTCTCCCTCCAAAATTTAGGATTGTTAATTTTCTATCACATCTGGGTTCTTAGGACTATTATTTCCTTACTCTGAATCCAGTGATAAATAAGGGTGCTGTTTGGGAGTTCTGCTGGCATCTCCAGCTAGAGAGCCTTTGGGTTTCTGTACTCCTTTCTTTGGGGCAGATTAAGGAGGATTCAGTATCCCTCTCTCTACCTCCCCATTCCCATCACTGGATTCACCAGTTCCCTCAATCTAGAGTGGGAATTGTAAGAAGCAGCACATCTGTGCTAACAATATTTCCTCTCCATTCTCCTATTTTGTTTTGTTTTTAGTTTCCACAACTCCAGCCTCGCTGTTCCCATGTTGTTGGGAGGAAGTTTCACCATCCTGATGTTTTCCGTTGTATCCTATGTTCTATGGAAAAAGAAACGCATGGGAAGTGAGTAAGAATTTGGCCTGCCTAAGTGCAGGAGGCTGACCCAGACCTTGTTTGAGGTCTGCTCCAATACTACTATTGGTCCTTCCATGTCATTCAGTCTCTTTTTTGGATGTCCCTTTTCCTGTCCCTGGGGAGAGTTGATATTCATGATACTTCATGGTCAGGGGAATAAGGAACAACAGCACATAGATCCCAGGGCTTCCTGGACAACTAGTCAGTCAGCACTTATGCTATTTGCTTTTCTAATCAGTGGGGAGACAGAGAAAAACACTCCCTGTCTTCAAGAAGCTTACATTCTAATTGGTGAGACACCATGTAAATAACAAGTATATCCAAAATACATACATAGTAGTCAGAAAGTAATTTGAAAGAGGAAGATGCTAGCAGTTGGAGGAATTCTTGCAGAAGGGGAGATTTGAACTGGATCTTATACGAAACCTGGAAAACAGAAGTGAGTAAGCAGAACATTCCAGGCATGGGGGAATGACTTAAACAACAAGCTTTAGAGATGATTTGGAAGCAGTTAGACCTGGATTCAAGTCCTGACTCTAACACATACTGAGACCCTGGACAAGTCATTTAACCCCTCAGTGCTCTAATTAAACATTCTAAGCCTATAAGCTGTAGAGACGTTTGCTGATCTGTATTGGTAGGGGGAAATTCTTTACCTGGGAGTTCCCTGTGACAGTGAAAGCACAAGTATAGTCTCTAACCCTTTGGGCCAGGCACAGTGGGAATATAAAGAAAAAAGGGAAACAGTCTTCCTTCAAGGGGCTTATATTCTAATGGGTACAAGAAGGTTTCCTCTCCATTTTTTAGTACTGAATCAGGGGGATAGGAGTGAAGGAAGAACATACACACAATATATCCCAGTATGGGTTGGGAATGCTACCTTGGTATAGTCTATGGACTCTATTCTTTTTATATCTTTGCAGTTTATTATGTATAAGACGGTCCAGTTTTATCCTGGTCCAACAGGCCTGAAGACCTGGAACCCTCAGAAGCAGGCTGAGGTGATCTGAGACAACCCTGTCCCAGCCACTATGGAAGGAAGGTCCTCTTCCAGCTGGTCTTCTGGTGCTGGACTCAGTGGAGAGGAAGACGGTTAATGAAGAGTTGACTTCAGTGTCCAGAGGGATGAGAATCCATCCCTGCTCCCGGATTCAGAGGATGGCTGGCTATTGTAGGAGGATTTGGGTAATGCTAGGGAGTGTATTTGCCTTTAGGCAAGGGGTGAGAAAACTCAGTGTCCAGCCCTTTGCTGATGGGGCATAGGAGTAGAGCAGCAACCCAGACAGCCTGCTCTTGAAAGATCTGTTGTGACCTTTTGCAGGTGGGGGCTAGACTAAACACAATATTGAAGTCTTTTCTAGCACTACCTCCTGAAGACAGGGAGATCTTGAGCCTTCTCTTGGTTGGCAGAATCTCCTAGAAAGGATTCCAGAATAATGCTCCTTAAAATGATACCAGATGGATCCCTTTCACTCTGCCCACAATGAGAGGCCCTGATTACATAAATCCTAATGGATAGCAGTTGAAATCTGGCCTCAGACACTTAGTAGCTGTGTGACCCTGGGCAAGTCACTTAACCCTGTTCGCCTCAATTTCCTCATCTGTAAAATGAGCTGGAGGAGGAAATGTCAAACCACTCCAGTATCTTTCTCAAGAAAACCCCAAAAGGGGTCACCAAGAGTTGAATATTACTGAAAACAGCTGAACAACAACAATGAATAATAGCATGGGGCTAATAAGCCCTTTTACAAATGAAAAAAATTCCCATATTGTCGCTTTGCAAGGGGAGGAACTGGGGAAATCTGGAGTTCCATTTGCTTTTTTTCTCTTTTCTGGGGAGTAATTACATCATCTGATTCTCTTATCTTGAACTTTAGCTTCATGGAGTAGGGGGCAGGTGGGAAAGGGGGAAAACACAGGTACTTGTGGGCTCCCTTTTTGGACTAGTTTTCCTTTCTGAAGGAAGAGGAGGTCTGGAATCTTCCTTTGAAGAGAAGCAAAACCATCTTGGGATGGTTCCTGAGAAGGGCTTCTTGAATCAAACCAGGCCTCCTTCAAATGGGCCTGTCCTCTCTGAGGGAAATGATCTAGTAGTCTTCATGCTTCTGCCCCCTGCTCACCACTTTAGTCTATTCCCTTTGTTTTAACTTGGGAAGGTCACTTTCCTGTGACTTTCCCTGTTTTCCTAGGGGTGGTGGTGGTACACGATGGGCATTTAAATTCTTTGAACATGGCACTCATGACTGTCCTGTTTCTGGCCACTCATGGATAAGCTTGGTTATTGACAGAGGCAACTTTGGGAGCATCACAGTCTATAACTGACTTTCTTTGCCTCAGGACATCCTCCCTATCTTGGGGCTACTTTAAATCTAGTGTCTAAGTTCCAGGAATCTTCACAGTCCACAACCAGTTTGTAGATCAGAATGAGGGTACCTTAGCATTAGATTGTGTACCGTTACTGGGCAAAATAAGGCCCATCATCTAATTAAATTTCATTCATCCATCAATCCATCCATTAATCCATCCATCCATCCATCCATCCATCCATCCATCTATCCATTCATCAAAGAAGTATTTATTAATGATAGCTAGCATTTATTAATAATTCATTAATAATTTAGCATTACTGACAACTTACTGTGTGCTCAGTGCTGTACTATAATGTCAGACATATAGAAGGACTTATGGCCTCTTCCCTCTGAACTTGTACTGTGTACTTGGCTTGCAGTTTTCTTAAACTGGGGTAGATGAACTCATTTTAAAAAATATTTTGAAAATTGTGTTTCAATATAATTAGTTTCCTTTGTAATCTTGTAATATATTTTTAATCTTATAATATAATATAAACATTTGTAACATATTTTATTGTGTTAATTTTAAAATATTTTGAGAATGTCCATAGGTTTCATCAGACTGCTAAAGGGAGCTGACAATGCAATAAAAAGTTAAGAATCCCTGACCTAGAGAGATAGGATACATATTGGTGAGAAATTTGAGAATGGTCCTAAGCTGTCTGATCAACACAATACAGGGCAAACTGATTGGCTAGAGAGGCACCCAAGTAGGTCGCATTAGCATCCAGAGCCTTTATAATCAAATATCAATCAGAACTGACATCCTAAGACTTGATCATCCCAAGTTGCTCTGCCCACCTAATGCTGAGTACTTTGCATTGTCTGATATCCAAGGGGATGTATAGCTAGAATGACTTTCTGAAAGTTATCATTGCTCTGAGAGTGGCTTGAAAAGTCTCCTGGGAAGAGTGGCTCTCTGCCCATTCTGCAGGCGAGGGTGGTTGCTCAGAAGAGTGGAGAACAAAGGTCAAGTTCAGGTGCCAAATGCTATGGACCTCAGTGTCCAGTCTCAAACAGTGGTTTTGCCCATTTTTGTATCACCAGCACTTAGTACAGTGCCTGGCACATGGTTAAGAGCTTAATAAATGCTTATTGACTAATTGACTGAGACTGACCCAAAGTTAGAGTAACCAACAGTTGTATTAGGCATGTGGCTAGGAAACCCTAAAAGTGACCAGAAGGACCCAGCCATTAGCCAGGGCCTCACTTCCACTTACTGAACATCTGCTTTTTAAAAAAATACATTTTTATCTATACCTTTTCTTATTTACATCACCAAAATTTTAATAGTATCTCTCCCTCTCACTCATTCCAGAGAACCATATAACCAAAATTTTTTAAAGAAAATAAAAAGGAGAAAAAATGAGCCAAACTGTTCAATACATTGAGAAAATATGAAGATATGTACAAAGTATCACACCTGTGTATTTTCTACCTATGCAAAGGAGTGAGGTGGGATATTATCTCATCTTTGGAGTCATGCTTGTTTTTTTTAAGTTTGCAACATTAATTTTTTAAAAAAATTCTTATTTATTTCTTTTTTTTTGCCTTTATTTTTTGAATTTCTTTAGTCTTTTTCCCCAGTTACATGTCAAAACAATTTTTAAAGTTAGTTTTTAAAACTTGAGTTCCAAATTCTCTCTCTTCCTCCCTTCCCACTCACCTCATTGAGAAAGTAAACAATTCAATGTAGGTTATATATGTGTAGTCATTTCCACATTAGTCATGTTGTGAAAGAAAACATAGACCAAAAAAAAAAAAAAGAACCTCAAGAAAAAATAAAATAAAAAAGTATGCTTCAATCTGTATTCAGAAACCATTAGTTCTTTCCCTGGGGATGGAGAGCATTTTTCATAAGTCCTTCAGAATTGTCTTGGATCATTGTATTGCTGAGAATAGCTAAGTTATTCACAGCTGATCACCTTACAACATTGGTGTTACTTTGTACACAGTACATTTCACTTTGCATCAGCTCATGTAAGTCTTTCCAGGTTTTTCTGTAAGCATCCTGCTTATCTTTTCTTATCACATAATAGTATTCCATCATAAGCACATACCACAATTTGTTCAGCCCTTCCCCAAAAGTGATGGGCATCCCCTTACAATTCTTTGCCACCAGAAAAGAACTGTTACAAATATTTTTGTACATATAGGTCCCTTTCCTTTTTGTTTTCTTATCTCTTTTGGGATACAGACCTCGTAGTGGTATTGTTAGGTCAAAGGGTATGCATGGCTTTATAGCCCTTTGGGCATAGTTCCAAATTGCTCCACAGAATGGTTGAATTAGTTCACAACTCCACCAACAGTGAATCGATGTCTCATTTTCCTTACATCCCCTCCAACATTTGTCATTTTCCTTTTCTGTCCTACTGGCCAATCTAATAGGCATGAGGTAGTACCTCAGAATTGTTTTAATTTGCATTTGTCTAATCAATAGTGAGTTAGAGCATTTTTTCATATTGCTTTGATTACTTCCTCTAAAAACTTCATATCTTTTGATCATTTATCAATTGGGGAATGGCTCTTACTTTTATAACTTTAACTTAGTTTTCTACATGTTTGAGAAATGAGGCCTTTATCAGAGAAACTTGCTTCAAATTTTTTTCACAGTCACTATTGCTAACTGTATTTTCCTCAGTTCTATCTCCTTCCCACCTTGTTTATTCTATTCTCTCTCTTCTTTCACACTGTCCCTCCTCAAAAGTGTTTTGCTTCTGACTACCCTGTCCCCCCAAATGCCATCCCTTCTATCACTCCCCCCTTTCTCTTATCCCCTTTCCCCCATACTCTCCTAAACGGTAAGATAGGTTTCTATACCCAATTGCACGTGTATGTTATTCCCTCTTTGAGCCAATTCTGATGAGAGTAAGGTTCACTAACTCCCCTCACCTCCCCATTCTTCCCCTCCACTGTAAAAGCTTTTTCTTGCTGCTTTTACATGAGATAATTTACCTCATTCTACCTCTCCCTTTCCCTTTCTCCCAGTGCATTCTTCACTCACCCCTTAATTTCTTTTTTAGCTATCATCCCTTCATAATCAACTCACACCTGTGCCCTCTATCTATATATAGTCCTTCTAACTGCCCTAATAATGAGAAAGTTCTTATGAGTTATAAGTATCATCTTCTCACATAGCAATGTAAACAGTTTAACCTTATTAAGTCCCTTATGATTTCCCTTTCCTGTTTACCTTTTTATGCTGCTCTTGAGTCTTGTATTTGGAAGTCAAATTTTCTATTCAGCTCTGGTCTTTTCATGAATAATGCTTGAAAACCCTCTATTTCATTGAATATCTATTTTTTTTCCCCTGAAGGATCATACTCAGTTTTGCTGGGTAGTTGATTCTTGGTTGTAGTCCTAACTCCTTTGCTTTCCAGAATATCGTATTCCAAGTCCTCTGATCTTTTAGTGTAGAAGCTGCCAAATCTTGTGTTACCCTGACTATGGCTCCATGATACTTGAATTGTTTCTTTCTGGCTGATTGCAATATTTTCTCCCTGACCTGAAAGCTCTGGAATTTGGCTCTAATATTCTTAGGAGTTTTCATTTTGGGATCTCATTCAGGAAGTGATTCTTTCAATTTGTATTTTAGCCTCTGGTTCTAAAAGATCATGACAGTTTTTCTTGATAATTTCTTGAAAGATGATGCCTGGGTTGTTTTTTTGTTTATTTGTTTTTTGGGTGTTTTTGATCATGGCTTTCATGTAGTCTAGTAATTTTAAAATTATCTTTTCTGAATCTATTTTCCTGGTCAGCTGCTTTTCTAATGAGATAGTGCACATTGTCTTCTATTTTTTCATTCTTTTGGTTTTATTATTTCATGATTTCTCA